CAATCGAAGTATGACAGTGGACCCAAAAAAAAAAGGGAGCAAACCACCAACCACCCACACAGAAAGATGTGACCAGTTCAGTGAGTGAAAACCGAGACCACAATTTAAAGGACACGTTGTGAAAACTCACCAGCACTTTGCTCTGCGGAACAAACTCTTTAGCTGTGGCCGACAGCTGGGTGGGAACCTTGGGCAGAGTGAGCTGTTGCTCTCTTTGGGGCCTGGTGCCATTCTCTGAATGAAGTAAACACACAGAAAACAAAAAGTTAGCAAAATTGAAAATAAAAACAAAATACTTTTAAAAAGTGACAGAGATGTACATTTTTTTTAGGCCGTCGTTATTCGGACTCGAGCCCGAATAACATTTTTTCATATTCGGACTCGAGTCCGAATATGAAAAAATGTTATTCGGGCTCGAGTCCGAATAACGACGGCCTAAAAAAAATGTACATCTGTCACTTTTTAAAAGTATTTTGTTTTTATTTTCAATTTTGCTAACTTTTTGTTTTCTGTGTGTTTACTTCATTCAGAGAATGGCACCAGGCCCCAAAGAGAGCAACAGCTCACTCTGCCCAAGGTTCCCACCCAGCTGTCGGCCACAGCTAAAGAGTTTGTTCCGCAGAGCAAAGTGCTGGTGAGTTTTCACAACGTGTCCTTTAAATTGTGGTCTCGGTTTTCACTCACTGAACTGGTCACATCTTTCTGTGTGGGTGGTTGGTGGGTGTCCTTGGTTGGTGGTTTGCTCCCTTTTTTTTTTTGGTCCACTATCATACTTCGATTGTTAGTCTTGTCTGTCCTCCTTTTCTTTATTGTGTTACTCTCTGGTAACACCTTTAATTTTGAGCAGTTATTTGTGATCTGTGTTGCAGATGGCAGAAAACTCTTATTAAAGCTTAACATTACACGTATTGTTTTAACCCTATCCGTACGTCGTGTTTTACTATCGTATCCTTATAAATGACGTAGGGAACTCTGTGCCACGACTTTCAAAGAGGAAATTTACTCTTTAATCCGATCCGTATGCATTGCATAGCAGTCTGTCAAAATTATTTTTTGAGAAATACTGAAAGTTTCAAAGAGATCTTCGTACTAAAAGTATTCTAAAATGAGAAGAATACCACCCTGGGCGTACAAAATGATCCCAGGACGTACGAATAGGGTTAATGGTGCGAATGGTTAGGCTCTTTGCTATTTCATTGCATGGGAAAGGCTTGAGGTCGTTTCATATCATGTGGATGTTATTTGCTTGAGCATGTTATGCTTGTCAGTATGAGTTGTCTGTGGCGTACAGCTTCGAAAGTGGGTGGTCTGCGGGCAATTTTGTCATCATCATCATTGCCTTTTTCACCCTGGATCAGGATATAATATGCCACGAACAAACACTCTCCACCTTTCTCTATCCTGGGGCTAGACTTTGCCAGTTGTCACTCCATGTCTTCCCACTTTTCTGTACATTCATTTCCATGACTCTTCTCCAGGTTCCATGTGGTCTTCCCCTTGATCATCCCTGCAGGTTCCGATCTAACACTTTCCTTGTTATGCAGCTGCTTGATTTCCTGAAAGTGTGTCCAATCCATCGCCAATGTCTTCTTCCCACCTCATCTCTGACTGGGCTCTTGTCTCGTTCTTAATACTTCCTCATTGGTGATCCTGTCAGGCAATTTTGTACAGAACCGTGATTTACCGCGACTGCTCAGTGTAAGACTCCCATCGTGCGTCACTTTGCAAAATGGCGTATGCAGAGTCTTACAGTTACACTTAACAGTCTACTGTGGTTCTGGAGATTCCGATTTTGGTTTTTTCCCCCAGCTTCAATATATTTTTTAAAATCCTTATATCCGGCATCATGGGTTTACCCCCTTCATAGGTAAAAGAGGGAAAAAGATTTTGAGGAATTACTCTCTATTTTTAAAAAAATAATTTTTTGGTGTCATGTAGTGGTTGTCTGGTCTGGTGTTAGCCAAAAAAGGAGTAAAAATACTAAATGGATCCTGACTTGGGCTTCAGAAAGTGAATGTTGCTGCCAACAGTACATTTGAAGCTATGTACATTATACCGAGGTTTTACCATATATATAACCTATTTGTGTTGCAAGTGCCTTAGAACTCTTACAAAAACTAAATCAACATCAAGTTACTATCAATGGGTGGTTGGCGGGTGCTCTGGTATTTTTTGCTCCTTCTTTTCCATCAAACATCTATCGTCTTCATCATCCCTCCTCCTTTTTTTTGTACGCTACTCTCGAGAATAACACCTCTAATCCCCGGCATTTTTTGGGGGGGGGGGGTTTGTTACTGTCCCGTCACTTATATGACCTAATTCTGTTGCAAGTGCTGTTTAAAAAAAAACAAAAAAAACACTCATCCTCAAAACAAAAAAACAATTTGCTATTAGGGTGTGTTCTGTTGTATGAGCAGCTGTTGTGGGTGTGTGGTGGATTCTCTGGTGTGGTCTGCTCCGCTCCTTTTTTCATCTCTCCTTCCTTTTTGTGTTTGTTACTCTCTTGTAACACCTCCAATCTTCCGCACTTATACGACCTTCTCATTGTGTTGCAAGTGCCGTAAAACACTTACTAAAAACAAAGAACAGCTTTTTAAAGAAGTCTCTGTTTGTGTGTCTTGTTGTTGAAGCCACAGAGCGCCCCTGGTGCTGATAGCGCGCAAGTTGGGCTGACAGTGGAAGCTGAAGAGTTTGTGCCAGCAGAACAGGGAGACTATTACTACGACCAGTACTATCAGGTAGATTGGAATGTTTCCTCCATTCATTCTGGTCTCAAATTATGGTTATTTTTCGGTGGGGGGGGAGGGGGGGGGTTGTCCTTATCTTTTGTTGTAAATGTTTTCTGTTAATGTTGTTAAAACTTGGTTGGCGGGTGTTCTGGTGTGGTTTGCTTCTTCTTTCCTATCAAAAGTCGATCGTCTTTATCTTCCCTCCTTCTTTTTTGTGTTTGTTACTCTCTTGTAGCACCTCTAGTCTTCGGACGAAAACATAGAGAATGCCGATTTCGGAGACTGACACAGTAAGCGCCGAAACATATAAAAAATCCCTTATGACTTCCAACTTGCCCCACATAGAGCTGGCAGACTGCCGGCGACTTTAAGCTCGGATCGGCGTTGTCGGCTTTCTCGGAATCCAAACTACGTTCTTATTACGTCAAAAAAAATGGGAAGGGCGCCTCGCTGTCAACTCACGACCTCAGTGCTCTCTTGTCGTATCTCCATTTTTAACAGTGAAAATGTGACTTCTTCTTAAGCTCACTCTTTGTTGTGAACTGTTTTCACTGATATTAAAAATGGAAATGCGACAAGAAAGCACTGAGGTCGCGAACTCTCAATGCCGTCTCGCCGTCGCCAACTCGGGTTGAGCGATTTGCGTGACGTCACCCGACTGGACTGGGGACAATTTTGAATGGTCATTTCAGAGCTGGTGCTTTACAGTAGACAAAAACTAATTACATTTTTTAAATCAGCGTTGTCAAATTAGGGAGGTCACAGAGCAGAATTACCTTTTAAGCAATATTTTAGGAATTTTGAGGTTTTTAAAATCTCCAAATAAATGCTTCATAAATACCAGTTGCGTTGTGGTGTAATTGTTTTCTTATATCTAGATCTAGGCTTTAGGCGCCCTCTATGTGGAGTGGAGCAGACGCCGACTGGCGCCCGTCAGCATCAATTTTCAGCCATTTCAGTTTCGGTGTTCTCTGTGTCATTGCCCTTCTCCGCACTTATGTGGCCTTATTGTGTTGCAAGTGCCGTAAAGCTCTTACTAAAACAAAACAAAAAAATTAAACACATATGAAAGAGGCTAAAGGTGTTGGTGGGTGATGGAGGCGCTTCTTGCAGGTTTTATTTCTTCTTTCCTCTCGTCGTTATGTCTTTTTTTCTCTCTAGCTTTTTTCTCTGCACATCATGACTGCTTTTGAAACAGTGTACTTTTCTTTAATGAAAACTTAAAACTTCATGTATAAAGTAAAGAACCTTTTTTCTTTCCCTCTGCATAGCTACCAACCATTACTTTATAAAAAGAAATGTATTTGATGATACGTTTCCAAGGGCCTTAGTTGAGAAGTCTGTTAGTTTTTTTTGTAGGAAAAATATGTGTGTATTCTGTTTCTTAGTAGCACAGTATACTGGAGGGTGCGGTGGCCGAGCGGTTAGTGGGCTCATCTCAGAAGGGGAAAGTCCAGGTTCAAGCCTCGGTTCGGACACAGGTTTTTTTCGCCCCCTTTCTGCCCAGCCAGCAGTAACAGGTCCCTGACTTCGAGTTGGGGAAGTAAAGGCGGCGTGGAAAGGAACTGGCCACCTTACCACAATACGCTGAAGGCCCGGGAAGTTGTCTCACTAAAAAGGAACACACAAAAAAGTTACACTATCCTCCTCATCGGCTTCTGTTCCGGTTCGTAGACTACACTGACCACCGGGATTGAGATAAATAGACCTATCTTCGCCGTGGGTGGTTGGCAGGTCTTCTGGTGTGGTTGGCTCCTTCTCTCCTGTCAAACATGTATCGTCCTGATCCCTCCTCCTTCTTTTTTATGTTTGTTACTCTCTTGTAACACCTGTAATCTTCGGCACTTATATGACCTTATTGTGTTGCAAGTGCTGTACAACTCACACTAAAACTAAAACCTGTCTTCACCTATGAGTTGACACCTACGTTACTTTGAGGTTTTTTAATGTTTGATTTTATGAGGACAGTGTTTTTTCGCAGAGACGGCGTGACCTGTAGACAAACTTCATTCCATGCCGACTTTCAAAAACCAAACCTGTTTCACTTTACAGATGTTTTCTGAAGATAAAGCCAAAAGTTGTACTTGCGGGAGGGGTTTGGGACATGATGTCATAGTTTTGGAAATAATTGAATTACACATCTGGGGGGGGGGGGGGTTAAATCTGCTCTTCTTGTTACTCATTATGGCTTTTTTCGGCTTTCTTTCCAGAGTTATGATTACAACAGCGGTCTGGGCTTTGACATGAACAGCTTCAGCGCTCTCTCCATCGGGGACCACTCTGGCGGTCAGCTTGACCAGTCCCAGGGGCCTAGCGGGGGGCCCATCCTGGATCGTTTCGCCAACGCCCTCTACCGGCTGAACATGAGCCCCGGCAACATGGAGGAGTACCTGCGTCCTATCTGCGACCTGATCAAGAACTGTCCGAAGGACGTCACGGAGAAGATCATGAACGACATGGTGGAGAGCTTGTTTGAGCAGGTAGCCTATCAATATGATCGATATTGACCGAAATCAGGCCGTGCTGTGAACTATTGTGAATAAAACCGACTTGTTTCACGCGCTCGTATGGCCTTATGCGGTTTCGAGCGCCGTTAAACCCTTACTACTTAATAAATCAGGTCGCACAGCGGGACAGCAAGAGAGCTCTTTTGTCGAAAATGATTTTGATTTCATCTGCCAATTGTTCAAATGTATTTAGCCCCCAATTATTTAAGTTGTTTTTTTGCCGCGATTTTACATCTGTGGTATCAGTTGCATGTGCTCCTGATACATTCAGTGGAAGCTCCTATTCTAAATGTGGAAAAAATGCAAGAAAAGATAGAAGACATAATGTGGGTAGAATTGTTAACAGGCGGAAACAGGATTTTCTCCCTCCTGAAAGATGTTGCTGTGGGTGGTTGGCGGGTGCTGTGGTGTGGTTTGCTTCTTCTTTCCTATCAAAACATCTATCGTCCTTATCTCCCCTCCTATTTTGTGTTTGTTACTCTCTTGTAACACCTCTAATCTTCAGCTCTTATATGACCTTACTGTGTTGCAAGTGCCGTAAAACACTTACTAAAACCAAAACCAAAATATGTTGCTTTCTGAGTTTTTGTGTATTTGAACGGCCTGCCGGTGGTTTATCTATTTCCAGCCAGCCAGAAGGTTGTATGATTGTTACGCTTCTTCTTTCAGAGTATCCAAGAGCCAAACTTCAGGTACACAGGCGCCAGAATCTGCCAGTACCTGAGTAGCAACTTGAAGAGTAACACCTTCTTTTCCGGATTTCATAAAGTACTAATGAGAAGGTAAGAGGCCTGAATCGAAGGCTGCTTTTCTAGATTTCATAAAGTACTAATGAGAGGGTAAGAAACAGGAATCGAAGCTTACCTTTCTGGGTTTCATAAAATACTAATGAGAGGGTATGAGACATGAATCAAAGCTTACCTTTCTGGGTTTCATAAAATACTAATGAGAGGGTAAGAAACGTGAATCAAAGCTTACCTTTCTGGGTTTCATAAAATACTAATGAGAGGGTATGAGACATGAATCAAAGCTTACCTTTCTGGGTTTCATAAGGTACTAATGAGAAGCTTTCCTATCAAACATCTATCATCTTTATATCTCCCCTCCTTTTTTTTGTGTGTTTGTTAGTCTCTTTTAACACCTCTAATCTTCTGCACTTATATGACCTTACTGTGTTACAAGTACCAGAAACACTTACAAAAATAAAAAAAATTGCAAGTCTGGAATACATTGAAGATTTCTCTTGATGTTGTGCCTGGTGTTCTGCCTCCCAGATGTCAGAAAGACTACGAGAAGAGAGAGGAGCTGATCAGTGGCAGTCCAGAGGACCAGACTTGGCTCAGGGGGCTGGCCATGTTCATGGCAGAAATCTTTCTCAACGTGGAGGTAGATGAATCTCTTTACAAAACTCTTTAAAATGTTAAAATAAAAAATATTTTTCTGTGTAAAAGTAGATGATCCTCATTTCTTTTTTTTTTTTTTTTTAATTGTTTTTAAAAAGTTAAAATCGCAGGAACCTGTTTCAATTTAGAGGTACTTGATCCTAATTTACCCTTTTTCTTTTTATAATTTCTTTTTTTTTAAATGTTTAAATAGCAGAAATCTATTTTAGCTTTATTAGCCTAGCTTTGAAAACTAATTTTATTTTCATTTTGACTTTCAGATAGAGCAAGAGAACGGAACGGTGTCTCGTCTTCACTACTTGCCGAAGGTGTTAACAGACTTCATCCACACACTTTTGTCCCGTCCCACCGAACAGGAAGTGAAATGTTGCTGCCAACTGCTGAAGGTAACTCGGTCTACTCAAGTCTTGTAGAATGTGGCTACACAGAAGTCACTGTCAGACCTGGTTAGAAGGATATGGTGCTATGGCATATTGTCTGATAAGTAAGCCTCCATTGAGTGCATGTGGGTGGTTGGTGGGTGCTCTGGTGTGGTTTGCTCCTTCTTTCCTATCAAACATCTGTCGTCCTTATCTCCCCTCCTTCTTTTTCGTGTATGTTACTCTCTTGTAACACGTAATCTATTCTTCGGCACTAATACGACTATTTATTGTGTTGCAAGTGCCGTAAAACTTTTACTAAAACTAAATCGAGTGCATTTTGTGAAAAGCAGAAAGTAGATTGATGGATGAAAGCGCCGTAGCAGCAGTAGAATTTGAGTGGGGTTGGGTTGGGGGGGTGGTTTGGCTATTGATCAAGAGATTATTGATAAATGCAATCATCAGAACAGAAATGAAATTGATTTTTTTGTCCCTGATCTAGAGATTCTAGGTAGGAGTCTTCTCCTTCCTAAAATGGTTTCTGCTTGGATCTGTTGAAGTCAGAAACCAAATTATGTTCCATCTGCTCTATCAGATTTGTAAGATTATTTGGAGTCGTTATTAAGATCCATGATCGCCCACGCCAGTCGGCAAGGCACCGGATGATGATGATCAAGATATTGAAAGAGGTGCATTCGAAAAAGCTTAACGTTGTGAGAAAAAAAAGTGTTGTGAAACTTTTTTTAAAAAGTTATGTCAAATTTCTCAAAACTAGGCACTGAGGAGATAAAACTTTGCAATTCTAAGGTAGTGATTTTTCTGATGTTTCTTTTCCTCCAGCTTTCCGGGGCCTTGATCGAGGACGGTGCCAAGCATAATGGGAGTTTGTGTGAGCTGTTTGAAGGCATCTTCACGCAGCTGGCAAAGTTGCAGACCAGAGGGGAGTTGACCCCGTAAGTGAAAAGTTTTGTCCTCACAGGGGTTTGGGTGTGTGGGTCTGAATGGAGCAGGTCTTGTTTCAGCAAGATAGGGCATGCCACAGCTTAACACAGCTAGAGATGTGGGTGGTTGGCCGGTGCTCTGGTGTGGTTTGCTTCTTCTTTTCTATCAAACATATATCGTCCTAATCTCCCCCTCTTCTTTTTTATGTTTGTTACTCTCTTGTAACACCTCTAATCTTCTTGCGCTCATATGACCTTATGCAGTTGCAAGTGCCGTAAAACCTTTACTAAAACCAAAAACAGCTAGAGTTTCCTTCTGAAGTGGTGTGGCCATGTGACAAGATCGTGTGTGGCCCATCCAAGACCACTGTTCAGGGAACTGTGCAGGGGGGGAGAAGGAGAGGAAGGCAAAGGAAGAGGTGGGCCCCCAACATTGCGGAATGGACAGGGAAGAAATCCTTTGCCCAAACTCGGGCGCTCGCAAAAAAACACGAAAAGTGGAGGTACCTGATGAGGCCCTCTTTATACAGTGCCCCCTACGATCCTCAGTGAGGGGGGGGGGGGGGGTAAAACATTACAGTTACCAATTTTACTTGAAGAAAGTTGCTCAGAATTCCAGGTGGTGTGCCGAATTTTCCGACTTTCTCTCGTAAGCGGATCCCTGCTTCCGCTATTAAGTGGGTGGTTGGCGGGTGCTCTGGTGTGGTTTGCTTCTTCTTTCCTATCAAACATCTATCGTCCTTATCTCCCCTTCATCTTTTTTATGTTTGTTACTCTCTTGTAACAGCTCAAATCTTCTGACGCTCATATGACCTTATGCAGTTGCAAGCGCCGAAAAACCCCTACTAAACTAACTGGACGTGTTTCTCTTTTTTTTTTC